CAAAGAATACTTTCACAGCTTCTGCCTCCAATCTCACAAATAAATGGAATAATTTACTTTTGTAAATTTGCGTCCAATGGAGTAAGTTGTTCCTTTGCTGTGTGTATGTATCAAATGTGCATGCTAATCCTCCGTGGGATCAAAGCTTTGGTTAAAGAAAGATGTCTTCTGAGACGAGTATCTGTACCTAATGATAACTAATAAGCCCTGCCACACTTTGGGTGTAATTCCGTGGTTTTGTGGGATTGCAGGAGCAGGCCTGGTAAGGGTGGTACGGATTTCACAGCTTCCCAGCGAATAGGATTTTAATTGCTGGCGTTACCTTTGGCAAACCTCGAGAGGGCAGTAGATGCATGAGGCTTCTGTCCTGATTCTGGTTTCAATTATGCTAGTTAGTGGTGTAATCAAGCGTCTTTGATGATTCCTCTTCTACATCCGTGTAAGTGTAGGTCAAATCAGTGTAGAATTTGAGTTACATTCACCTTCACTTAGAAAATCACAGCAATGTTTCTGGTTGAGTTTTTTTTTTCTGTTTTGAACTTTTATGATGAAAATAATGACAGCCCTCTAAAGTAAAGAACCTGTCATAAGCATTTTTGATGTTTTAAGAAATAATCTAGAAAGAAAAGCTACAAGGAGATGATTTAAAATGTTTTAATGGAATAAGCTGAAACTCCCCTAAGTGCAAAAAACCCATCTTTTAAAAAGGTGAACTTGTAAAATGTGCACAGATAAACACAAGAGAGGGAATTCAGCAGAGGGATCGTATTTTGATCCTTATCCTCTAAAAAGAATCAAAATAAGCAGAAACACAGGCACTGATCTGCATGCAAGGTGTGATTGACTAAAGGAAATAAGATGTGCTGTATCTATGTGACTGGACAAAGACTTGCCCAAAACATTCACCCGACTGGAACTAAGGGGAAATTTGAGGTGTAAAATACCCACAAGAAAATGTGTTAAGTTAGGGTTTTTAGTGTTGAATGAATGCTTCAGATACCTCCAGTTTCATTTACTAATTGGGGAAAAACCCCCATGGAATATACAAGGAATTATTAGTTCAGAGAACAAGAGGATCATTGCGCCTAATCACTGTCTAAAGTGTTGTACGAATGAGTTAAGCAGCTCCCATGACATGAAACAGCTAAAACAGACAAACCTGTGTGAGGAGGTCCAAATTACCAGCAAAGAGAAACAAATTACCTTGGAAGGCTGGAAGAGCCAGAAGTGTTTTTGCAGCTGTGGAAGGGTATTTGTGACTTGTCAGCATTGCAGAAGTTTTTACAATGATAAAACTGGTGGCTTTGATGTGTGGAATCACTGAAGGCTGTTTATCATATTCACTGCTCCTCCCTTATCCACACCAGTGATTTCATTAGTGAAAGCAATCAGATGTGTCAGAGCTGCTCTGCCCTTTGTAAATCCACGCTTTTTCTCACTGCCTTCTTGTCCTTCATTTGTTTGGAAATGGATCCTAGGGAGACATGCTGCATGGTCTTTCTAAGAACTGAGTTGAAGCTGGCCATCCTTAGTTCCTCAGATCTCCCTCTGCACCCTTCTTAAAGATGGCTGTAATATTCAACCCCTTTCCATTGACCTCTGTGAATCATGACATGTTCTATGAATGATGTGGCTTCACAATCACATCACTCAGTTTTTTCACCATCCTTCCATGAGTCTATCCGTATAGACATGAATTCACCCAGTTTCTGTAAATTGTCCCTATTTTTATGCTTCCTCCTTTCTCAAACTGTGCAGATATATTATGGAGGTCTGGGAGCCTTTCGAAGACGGACAAAAATCACTGAGTATGTCAGCCTTTACTATATTGTTTGCCACCAGGTTATCTGTTTCCCCCATTCAATAGTGGCTTCACATTTCCTTTGAACCTCAGTCTGGTACTAGCATGCATACAGAATTCTTTTCCTTTTACCCTTTATGCCCTTCAGCAGCTTGAGGTTTTAGATGGGCTCCATCTTTCCTGGTACCATCACCTAAGCAATGCTTTTATACTCCTCCTTGTTTCCTGTCCTTGTTTCTGCTTCTTGTATGCTTTCTTTCTTGGATTTTAATTCATTAACAGCTCCTTGCTTTGGCAATTGGGCCTTCTGCTGAAATTTCTGGTTGTATAAAAAGTCAGCCCAGCCTTGAATTAGAATTAGAGGGTATTTTGTTAGTAGCTCTTTTTATTATTTTTAGACTAAGTTCTGCCATTGGCTAACTTGTAGATCTTGAAACCCAGTTTTTATGACAATCCTGCCCTTCAGGAATCACTTTAAATCTGAATAATTCCCTCCTTCAGTAATTCAGAGGTTTGCCTTAATGCAATGCAGATGTAGTTAAAGCGGCATTCCCTTGAAACCTTTGCAAGAAGCAAATGTAGCTCAGATCCAGCTGACCTATCTATTTTGAGATCACTAATACATACTTGTAATATTTCTAAGTCTGTAGGATGTGTTTATTGTACATGCATATTGCATAAGGGCATGACTTTTGGTGGACTCAGCTTTTGATAAAATAGGGTTTTTTTTGGAACACAATACTTGAGGTACACTAAGTGGGAAAATCTCAGTGTCTGTTAGCTTGGAAGGCTCAGGTCACAAGAACTTCATTTTGGTAGGAGGTTTTATATGCGTGGGGAATTTAGAAACCTTGTGAAGTTCTTCCCATAATAAACAGAGTTGAAGATTTTTTTCTGGGGAAAAGGAGGCTCTGAAGGTCAGCATGCTGAGTAGTGTGGAGAAAAGACTTGTTCCATACTGTATAAATAATGGGATGTGGTTTTGACTGAAGGAAAAATCTGTATGAACAAGGTGATAGTGCTGACTTGTGATAACTGAATGAATTTTCAGTTTCATAGTAATAAGAATACGTTGGGACTCTGTTCTGGGGTGATGGGAAATAGATTGGAAAGTTGCTTGCTCGACTTTTTTATAATTTTTTTTTCTAAGGGGTCATTCAAACACAGAAAATGGTGTATTAAAAAAACCCAACAAACAACAAAACCTGGCAATGTCAATGTACCTTCTACTGCAGTGATGATTTCCATGAGGGCGGGATTCGATTTCACTTCCCAAGCAGCTATTGCATGCAAAGGGTGGACTGCACAAGTTGCTGCAGCTGTGAAGCAGCAGCTCTCACTGCTGATTGAATTAGCTGATTTCATGAACTGTGGCTGCAGATGTAGAGGCTCAGGCTTGACGTACAGCAATTAGAGGGAGAGAGCTAAGAACAACCAGCAAAGCTACAGGAACAGGCAGTAAGACAGTTGCTTTGTGTAAAATCTCATTTCTGTTTATCGTATTGCATCAAGAGCTCAGTTTGAAACCAAGCTGTTTATGTGATGTTCCCTAGTAAAGCTTCATTTGCTCGAGAAGGCAAGCCTTCTGCAGGCTCATGGTGAATGGAAATTTCAAGAGAATTGCAAGAATTTTTCTGCATCAAGGGAAACTTCAGTGACAGACAACTGGAGATTTTGTGTGGTTTTAATAATAATAATAATAATGGTAAAAGGCTTGTTTATTTTAGAAACCCAGCTGTCTGCTACTGGCTTGCCTCCCAGCCTGGGTGGGCAGTGGAGCTGTCTGCGAGCTTTGTTCCCCAGCAGCAGGTCACGGTCATGGCAGCTACATTAGGTCCCCCAGCTCGGGCCTTTGTGCACCAACATTTCTGAATGCAGCCCCTTTCTGGGGCACCAGCCCCACAGCTGCTGCTCTCTGGCCTTCACCACTTCACTCATGCCCCAGCCCTGTGCTCCTCCTCAGGCAGCTGTGCTGCCTGCCCTGTGCTTGGTCTGGTCGCCTACCCACCGCCTGCCCTCCTCCTTCGTGTGAAGAGGCACAGGCCTGGGTGCTCTAGCTCTAGCTTCAGGTAGAGGAAGCATTTGTCGGGGCCTCCTGGCAAAAACAGAGCTATTTGGCTTCTTCAGTCTCTCAGAAAATGCAGGATATCCCAGCTCTGCAGCACACACTGCAGTGGATACATCCGACACATACCGGCTCCTGCCCCTGCTGTGAGGCCTAATCTTGCACTCCACTGTGGATACCACAAACACAAAAGTGCCCTCCCTGTTAGAAAGCTGCTGTCGTGCCATGCCAGGGGCTAAACACCAGGCCCGTGTTTTCTCTAGAAGGACATCTCTGGATACGCTGGTGGGCGTCTCACTGGTGAGGTGCTGGGACAGCCATTTTCTCCCAAGTGCAGTCACCAAACAGTCTGCCCAGGCTTCAGGAGCTGCACAGGTGGTGGCACGATGAACCGTGTAAGGAAACACAGTGTGGCTATACATGTCTGCTGAATCCAGGCTCCCCTAAATGTACCAGCAGGACCTGAGGGAAGGTTTTAGTTAAAGCTGTCCTGTGTCTTTACAGCTAGGGAGAGGCTAGAAAGTGTGCCTGCAAGGTATGGAGCTGCTCTTATATTGGTGCTGCCATTACTCACCCGAGCACAGGGCAGAACCTGGCTCTGTTCTTGACAGTGACTTTTTTTATGAGAGAGCTCAGAAAAGAGCACTTGACTTGTTATTTGCTGGAAATAAGGGCAGTGTTGGACATTACCTGATAACACAAGAAGGAACTAAGTAATTTGGAGAAAATTTCATGCTTTCTGAAGTACTGATGGTTTAATGTCTTTGTAGTTTTTGTACTACTGTAAAATACCTCACAACCGTGGCCTGAAGCAGCACAGCCAATTTCCATGCAGCATGGCTCTTCCTTCGGCGTGGCTCCCTTATTCAGTGTGACTGCATCCTTAAATGGGATTAGGTGGCAGTGTGTTTGAAGTACAGTGCTGATTAAAATCAAAACCATCTATTTCCTTGTATATTGTGTGTATGGCTTTGAGAACATAGCCTGACCTGGCTTTTCTTCAAATTAAATAAAAAGCAGAATCATTTGGAAGAGATCTGAATTGCCATTATCTGTGGTTTTCACCAGTCATAGATGACAGGAATTAAGATGATTTTGAAATAAATGAGACAAAACATAAAAAAAACCAATGAAAGCTTCTATGATTCTAGGATTACAGACTTGCCTGCCTAGAGCTACTGCTCTATGCTGATTATGAGCATTTTAGAGCTGGAAATAAAGATGGCGAAAAAAATAATAGAAGTAAATAATAATATGTTACCTCCATGCTATTTCATGGTAGAAGACAGAAGTAACTGAAAATCTATGAGGTCTCAGATACAGATGGGTCAGAGCTACTAGTAGGTTGCTCCTTGATTACCTTTCTTCCTTCAAGCAGTTTGAACAACTGGGGGCCACCTGGTGCATGCAGTGATGCATTATTCCCTTCATTTTTCCAGGTGTGTGACCACCAGGGGCAGCTCCAGCTGGAAAGCCTGTGGGGACATCATTGATTTTGTTGAGCAGCACTGTGCAGGTAAATTTTCAGGAGAAATGCTGGTATAATTTCTGTTGGGGAAAGCAGGCAGCAGGTTTGGTTTTGTGATCTGACAAGATGTGGAAATGTTTTATTCCAGGAAAAGCTGGAAAAGGTTTATGTGAGTTTGAGTTCTCATTTCCTGACAAGCCAAAGCCTGTTATCTTGAACTTCGAATTGTAGAAGCTAAATATATTTAGTAGAATGGTGTTGTAGTCTTTGTTGCTTAATATGGATATTTATTTGTTGTGGTGGTATAATGTTTTACTGAAATGGTTAAATGAATACAGTCGTGCAGTGTAAGATTGATTTTTTTTGGCTGTGTAGTCACAAGTTACTCAGAAATGTTTTGGGAGAAAGTGCTGGGGAACGTTCTTTGTTGGAGGAGAAGCTGAATAGAGTTTCTGATTGAGGGAGCCACACCAATCCTTTAATTAGAATTAGCTGAATAACCAAGCATACTACATTGTCACTGGGGATCTGCTAATGCTCTAATGAACCAATTTTGCTTTTGCTTCAAAAGTGGTGTCCTTGTATTGATTTTCTCTTTTCAATAAAGTCGATTTTTCTGTCCAAATTCAAGGTGTAGAAAGTTATAAAGCACTTTATCACTGGGATAACTGCTCAAGGGATGGATTATTTTGTTTTCTTTTCTTTTGTTTTACCACTATGAGTTGAAACAGTCTAAGTCTTTAAAATGTATACAATGATTTTATTAAAAAAACTCCTTTACCTGCTCATTGGTAGAAGTATTTTTATATGCTTAAACAAGAGAGCACTAAGACTTACAATGTTGCCCTTTGTGTTGCATCAGTCTTCTCCAGCCCTTTCTTCGCCTCTCATATTTAGGTGAAACTAAGTAAAATCATGAAAGGTAGAGATATTAGGAAAAACTGTAATTGTTTTCTGAGTAATTTCTACTGTTTTATGCCTAGCTGAGTGCTTACAGAAACAGCTTTTCTGCAAAAGACCATGTGCTAGATTGTTTGCACTGTTACCATTTTGACTTTAAGGAATCCTTTTGAGTTAAATGAGGTTACAGGATAGTGAGATTAGCAAAAGGACTGAGAGAATAGACATCTAAAATAGCAGATTATGTGCTGTTATGGCTCAGTGCTTTTGTATTTACTGTTCTATTTTCACTTGCAAATGCCACTTAGTTATAGTGCTTGGAGAATTTCTGTCTTATGTCACCAAATGACAATAGAAAGACAAAAAGGAGGCTCCTAAGCTGTCTCACTCTTTTAGCAGCCAGCTGAAAGAATTACTGAGACTACAGCTTCCAGTTAAGATCTAGGTGGACAATGAACAGAAAATGTCAACATTTGAAGATATTACAAGCATAGAATAATCTGTTGCAACTTCCTCTGACCCTAGGAAGTGTTATCCTTCTTTTATAGGTAGTGGTACTGAAAGGCTAACAGTCCTGCCAGGAAGTCTATGTCCAGTCGTGGTTTCACCAGACATGGTGCTCTCAACTCCTCAGTGTTAATCTGTCAGTTTAAGAGAATTGTCCCTTCTGTGCATGCTCCTGTGACCTAGTCAAAAGTTTGCAAGAAAGCTATTTTAACAGATGCATATGGACAGTCGTTCTCCTGCAGCATAAAAAGTTCAGTGTCTCAGCTTAATTCTGGGTCACCACTGATTCTGTGGTTATGTTCAGTTTAAGTAAAACTAATCATGAAGACATTTCTGCAGATACACTGCTTCTTGGGAATATGGCTCTTGCTATGCCACTTTATTTTCAGTTTAGGACGGAGTTATAATATCATCTCTAAATAGTGGTAAGGGAAGAAAAATATTTCAAAATCTTTCTTCAGACCAGTGGGTGTCTGCCACTATAAAAGCCTTTAGGATACTAACTTCTCAACAGTATGATGGGTTCTTTTGCAGTCAGTGGAACGTGAGAGTGGATGCTACCTTCAGGAAGGACTTTGGGTTTCATTACTTTCAGCAGGAGCCTCTATTAATGACCACAGACCTCCCACTGTAGTACCCTGAGGTGAGCAGTCTGATGGCACAGTTGGATAAAAATATAGGTGGATAACTAAAATTCTCGGTCTGAAATGATATAAATAGGTCTCTTCACATAAAGATTTTTTAGAAAGGTTACCTAACTTATAAACTAAAGGTAGGTTTATAAACCTGTGATTGAATTGTCTCATTCACATTATACAAGCATTTTTCATGGTGAATTCTCATACTGAATCATTATTAACTGTATAATAGGCAACTTTATGGATGACCTTGAATATATTTTCCTTTGATCTTCTCTGTAAGCAATGATTTGTGCCTAATTTATTCAGAGCCTATTGACTCTGAAGCTGAAAGAATTAGTCATAGACAGTTTTACATTAAGTCATGAAATAAAAAAATTATGAAAGCTACTGTAAATGAAATGTAAAAGAAGCAAGGTGGCAGCTATACAGCCAGGTTGTCTTTTATAGTATTTTATAAATAATAGTGACTTACATGATACAAAAATAATATTCTCACCATTATAGTTTTCAATGGGTATGCTTTTTACAGACTGTTTTTTCCTATGGTATAAGAAAAGACTGCAAAACAGACAGTGATATCTGTTTTGATGACATAACTTAGTTACTGTCTTGGTATTAGCAAATGCAGCGATCTTCATACTAGAAGAGAGGAACAAGCCCAAATAAATGGCCTATTCATATGAACTGGCTGAAAGGGTTTGTAATCTAGTTGCATAAAGAAAGGTTTTTTTTAAAGCTTTATAGAATTATACACCTTTGGTAATAGGTGTGGTAGTAAAAACAGACAACAACAACAAAAAAAGATATAAAGGGCAAAATTTTGTTCCTGCTTACACTAGCATGAGATGTACCGGCCCCAAATCCTCTTACATTACTTAGAGACTGAAGAGTGAAGCTGACTCCAGCTTTCTTGAGTAGCTGACCACTTCAGGAATATAAGAGAAATTTCTGTAGTGGCTTCTTACACCTTTGAACAATGAGTCTAAAAAATATAGTACCTTCTTGTGGTGTTAAGAGTATGCTTCCACCTGGTGTAGTCAGCAGTCTCAATGTATATCTGCTCAGACCACCTCTGGCAGCTCAGGAGCATTTATCGTCTTTCAAAATCTGTGTTTTAGTCTCCCCCAGAGCATCCTATTATCTACTAAGGGTAACAGGCAGCACCTCTTTCATCTTGTGTCCATTTAAAATTCATGAAGTGGCCTTTAGCAAATAGCAAAATGTGATAAGAAGCTTCGAGCAGTTGGCTTGTGTGGAGGAATGGGGATGAGAGGTAGCCTGTCAAATACAGAGAGCTTTGAATAATTATAATAATAGTGGCAGTGATATATAGCGGATTTCTTTGGTCTTTTTTCAAAAACATGCTGAGATCTATTTAGAGAAGTAGTGAAGTGCTATAAATCCTACTTGGATTTGGGAGTTGAGGGTTTGTCAACAGCCAAGCGCAGCTTACTCAAGGTGAAAAGCTATTGGTACATCAAGGCATGTATCTGACGTAGGAAGCTTGAAGATACAGAATCAATAGGTGTAGGCTCTACTTTCTATTTTCGAATAGTTGCTCCATTGTTTCTTCACGGACTGTGGATGCTATTACTGCTGTTTGCCAATTGACATGTTGTCAGCCTCTCATACATTAAGAAAAAATCTTTTAAGTGCATACTGCCTTTTCATGCTGATGTCATCTTATGTTGAATTTAAACATTTAATGTGCCACTAAAGAACACAGCTGCTGCAACGGGCTTCATAGCTGTGCTTGAAATATCATTGCTCGCCGACCGTTTGATCTGTAATTACATCTCTCCAAGTGTACTCTAAACCCTGTGCCACTGTGGGTGTTGGTGTTATGCCATGTAGCACCACAGGAAGTCTTTTGTAAAGCTGCAGCTCAGATTACTGTGAGCCTGGATCTCCTATACTAATCTGCTGCTGTTTATCAAGCTCTTTCATTTTGTTTCTTTTGCTAGCAGAAATTCCAATAGTCTATCAAATCAAGCAGAGCCAGTGCAGAATCATGTTGCTGCTGTTGCTGGAAGTGTCCTGTTACAGTTTTTGTATTTACACAGTTCAGTGGCCCATTTCAAAAAAGTCTGAACCCAGATTATATCTATGTGCCATAGCTAACAGCTAATGACAGTGATCCTGATAGTATGTTCTTCATCTCCAGATCCTCAGAATGTGCTCCAGGGACCAACTTCTATTACAAAAAACAATAAATGCGCCTGACACTTCATTGTGACTCCTGTAGCTGATTTGTAGATACCAGTCACATCTGTGTGATTGCTGCTACTGGGGTCCTTGGAATGAAATAGGACCTTTTGGATTTCATGGAACCTTCAAAAAATCTGGAGTACTCACGAAGATGATTAAAAAGGCTGCAAGTAAATATGATCATATGGTGTGAAAGGGAAACATTATTTATTAACCTAAGTGTGGAATAGGAAGTGATAGATGCTGACAATGACAACAGAAACAGAAATAGCTTAATGAAGTACAGTGAAACTTTGTGTTAAGGAAATGTACTGCACTGCTAATATTTCATATTCGATGAGAAGTCCAATATCTCAATGGTGGTTAGACATCCATGACACATGTTTTGTGCAAGTTGCCTCCAGCTTGGTTATGTGGACCAGTCCTTGACAAATTCCTTTGAACACAGTATGATGTAATAGGCTGCAGGGGGGGCTTTATCTCTGCCACTGTAGGTATTCCCTGACTCAAGGACGTATGAGAGCAGGCTGGGAAAGAAATTGGGGCAGTAGCCACTGATTGCTGGCAAGTAGTATTCCTTGAGGAATTTCTGATATGCCTGCATGGTCTTTATGCTTGACAAGATGAGAGAAATATTTATTAGTTTCTTTGGCTGTCTTATTAGTGGTGTCTTGTAGAAGGAAAACCAAAATGAATTGATGGACAGGTAAACTTGTTTTCTCCAGCACTTGAGTTTTAATATCAAGAAGCTAATCTGATCCCAAGTGGATGCTACCTAACATGTTGAAGGGA